TGTGAGTTTTTTTTTTGGTTTGTTTTTTTTTTTTTTTTCTTTTCTGGAGAAATTATATTTGGGCTTTAGGAGATGTGGAGGCATGTTTCTGTATTTTGATTTTGGCCATAGCATAGGTGATTAGTCCTTGTTCAATAAACAACTATAGCTATTCTATTGGAAATTTTTTACTTCTGAACTTTGAATAAATAGGAAGGAAATGTTTGCCCCATTTCCTATCAGTGATAATAGGATTTAGCAGACATTTAGGGAGTTAGAGTTTAAATTACAAATTATCCATGGAAATAACTCGGCTAGTTCTCAGCTGTTAGAATTTAATAAAATTACCCTGATAAATCTGTTGGCAAGCATCCTAGAGAAGAAATGAAGTTTTGGAATCTGATTTAAATATCCTGCAAATATTATTTATCAGGAGAGCTATCATCTTTTTCTGTCTTTTTTCTCATTCACCAAAATATATTACGAGATGATATTCTTGTTCCTAGGATTACAGAAAACAACAACTGAGATTCAAGAGTTGTTCAGTGAGCAAGTGACATGACTGAGATTGGAATATAGGTCTGTCGGTCATCAGATAATCTACTTTTCTTATTGGTTTGTGCTCCCATAGCACATAGATTTGGGAACTTGTCTTTGGTTAAGTGAGGGCAGGTACATTTAATAAGCTATAACACCATATTTCTACCCTATTGATCGTTGGACAAGAAGGATAAGATTCAGGCTCAGAAGTTAGTTTTTAGCTGAGTAAGGCCATACTGACCCATCGAATGAAATGAGTTTTTAAGAAAGTTTTGTTGGAAATAAGGAGAATAATTTTTAAAAATTTATTTAACAAACATCTAATGAATATCTACTATGTGTTATGCATTGTTTTAAGCAAATGAAATAAAGGAATAAAATTTATAACAACCTCTGTCTTTAGAATGCTTTTTATGTATTTTTAAGTTATTGAACGTTTTTTCTTATAACTACTATTTTAAAACCATTTTCACTAGTTACAGCTTCCTGATACTTTTAGTGCCTGCTATAAGGAAACTTTTATTAGGCAACTTTAAATCTTGCTTGTTTACCACTTGCTAATTATTGAATCAGGAACTACCAGACAGTAAGAGCTTTAGGCATTAAAGCAAGAGTAAACAGAATTTTATCTTGTTAGATAGTTAGGAGAAATAGCTCTTTGCTTCCTCATTTTCTTTGAAAAAATATATGCCATTATAAAATGAGCATCTCATATCTTATTTGTGATGGTTTCCAGAGATTGCTTGCTTTTTCAGTTTAATTTGTTACAGTAGCCACTTTGTGAACTTTCTTTCTGTCACTGTTCTCTACTTTCATTTTCAGATTATTTTTTCTTTGTATGAACAAAAGTACTTATGGTCTGGTACGCAGATGAGAGAGATTCATCAGAATGGTCATCTACTATTAAAATGGCTCTAATGTCCTTGCTAAAACTCCTGTTAGAATTTGGATGCCATTGTGATGCTGTTAAGAGGTGGGACCTTGAACAGGTGAAATGATGCTACTGTCACTGAAGTAGGTTAGCTATTGTAGCAGTAGGTTCTGCCATTGGATGATCCTTGCCTGATGCTGGCACCATGCTCTTAGACTTTTCAGCCTCTATAATCATGAGCCAAATAAACTCTTGTTTATAAATTGCATAGTATTTGGTAATCTGTTATTGCAGCAAATAAATAATATGAAATAAGATATTTAAATTTTCTAGTGTCAGATTTGTTGGGTTGTCAGAAAAGTCATTTTTCCAACAACCCAATATTTTCTTTGAAAATGAACAGGAAAAATAAATAATGAGGTGTTTTTTTTTTTTTTTTTCAGAACTCATAACATGGCATGTTAATAAACCTTTTATTTAGAATTTCTTTGTAAGTATGCATTTTATCCTCCAAACTAGATGATCAGTTCTTTTATTTCATAGATATTGTTGCACATCTTTTAAAATTCCCTATTACATTAATAATATGTATTTGGCAATATTTGGACTGACTTAGGACAGAAGTGACTAGAGATGATGTAAAGGATTAGTTTACTTGCCTTAATTATTGGTACCTGTTAATATGCTTAGGGAGTTTTTATATTCAGGAGAGGAAGGAGGAGTTTTGATTGAGATCAAGGCTAGAATTGTCTTGTGTATGAGGAGTGAAATGAAAAATGGCTCTCACTTGGTCCCTTCACTGGTGTCCTACCTTCTATGTAGGGAAGGAGTGGGATGCTGGTCTTTCAGATTAAGTGAAATTATATTGGGGTCTAAATGGCAAAGCAAGACATAGTTAAGGCAGCAGCTGTTTTCCTCACATTTATAGGGAAGTCAAGAGTACTCAGAAGTCCTTATAATTGGAATCTTTGGAATAGCTTGAGATTATACCACGATATTGGACATTGGTCCTTTTATTACAGATTGTAGGAGTAGTGAAGATTTTTTGAGTAGCTTCTAAAGAATAAGTATAAGAGAATGGAGTCTTTGAACAACTAGGGCCTCTTCGTGGTAGCTGAATCTGACAGACTTTTTTGGGACTTCTAGGCATAACATAAAAAAGCTAATTTATAGCACTCAGGTATTGGGGGGATTATGTTCTTTAAAAAAGAAAGTCATAAAAACAAGCATGAAACTAATCTTTAGCTCAGGGAAAATGGAGTAGTTATACTTTTCCCTATTCTTTTTATTAAATACAACTAAAATTCCAGAACAAATACCAGAAAACATTTAAAAGTGGAAACAAGATGGCTAGGGACCCTGCGACCTTAGAAATAATATGTTAGTAAGTTCCTTGTGTTTTTCTTTTTTTTTCTTACATGTCCTAACTTGGAGCTAAAGAAATCAGAAACCTAGAAATGCTAACAGATACAGAAAATAACAAAACAACAAAATCCTGTTCATTTTAGCCACAGGGCCAAAAGAAGAGAAGCTTAGGGAAGCAGAATACTTTGGGATTCTATTCCAGTCAAACTTTACCACAAAAACTTTACCACTACTCTATCTACAGTAGCAGACTGTCAGGAGCCTAGAGTTCAAGAACCTAACATAGTGAAATTAGAAGCTTTCCAAAGCACCCACTAGGATGGTATTAAAAGTACAAATAGAGTGGCTGACAGGTGGCATTGTGGTTAAGGGCGTGGGTACTCCCACATGGCCTACCGTGGTTCAAGTCCCAGACCTGGTGGCTTGCTTTTTCACTTTCCCTCTCTTTTTCTCTCATTATGTTCCTCTCTGGTCAAATTAAAATAAATAAATAAATTAAAAAAATAAAAGTACAAGTAGAGAGCTGGGACTTTTATTACCCCCTGACAATAAACAGTCACCCTTCTCCACCATGATGTCAGTAGAGCCCTAAGAGGAAATAATATTAAGTCCTTGCTACTACTTCTAGTGGAAGGCTACAAGAAGTTAGTACTCCCACCTCCAACTACCTAGAGTAGTGTCAAAAACCCCAGCCAGAACAGAAGGGCCATCAAATAAGTTGAGAGTATCATACCGAATACCCAAAATGTCCAGGTTTCTATCCCCAAATCACTCATTTTATCAAGATCTAGGAAGATCTAAAAGTGAATTATAAGACACAGTAAGTTCTAATACCACAATGACAGAGATGTTAGAATTACCTGGCAAAGTATGTAAAGGGGTCATATTTAATATTTTGTCAAGCAATTAACAATTGCTGAAACAAATGAAAAACATATCATCTCAGCCAAGGAAAAGAGTATATAAAGAAGAACCAAATGGAAATCTTAGAACTAGAACTGAAAAATATAATAACCATAATAAAATTTCAGTGGATGGGCTCAACTAAATGGGAAAACTAAAAATTTCTCACCAAAATACTTACCTTAAAAGTATGACAAAAGGAAGTTCTCTAAGCAGAAATAAAATGATAAAATAAGGAAACTTGGAATATTAGGAGCTAAGGATATAATGAACAAAAAGATGGTTAAATACAATGTACGTTCTCCTCCAAAGTTTTAAAAATTATGTTTGATGGGTAAAGCTAACACTGAAACTTATTTGATGTGGTACTAAATATATATAGAGAGAAATCTTTTTAAAAATTATACTTGGGAAGAGTAAAGTGATGTAAGAGGATTTATGTTTATATATATATATATATATATATAGAAAGAGAGAGAGAGAGAGAGATACCACTTCATAACTATTTAAAGAGATAAACTTTAAAAATACTTTAATAAATCAGGATAGAATTGTCAGAACATTCAAGTAGCCCAAAGGAAGACAGAAAAAAAAATTCTAATTAAATAACAGTGAGAAAACAGAAAACAACAAATAAAATTGCAATGATTGCTTTGGCAGCACACATACTAAAGTCGAAACAATATAGAGATAATTAGCATGGCCTGTGTGCAAGGATGACATACAAATTTGCATATTTTTCTAAACTTAAAAACTTTTGAAATAACGTAGTCAGACTGAAAAAGGGGCAGGGAGTGGAATGTGAAGGAGAGAGAATTTTTTAAAAAGTTTATGGAACCTATGGGACATCATTAAGTGAACAAATATTCACATTTGGGAGGTACAGAAGAAGAAGAGATGTGAAAGGCATCAAAAACTATTTAATAAAATAATAGCCAAAAACTTAGCAAGTCTGGGAGAATTGTGAACATAGAGATTTAGAGAGCTTGGGAGTTCCCAAATAGATCTAACCCATAAAGATCCTCTTTGAGTAGTTAAACTGATGGAATACAGAGAGAATTCTAAACACAGAAAGGTAAGTGTCAAGTTATGTACAAGGGAATTTTCATTAGACTGACAACAGGTTTCACAACAAAAACTTAACCTGCCAGTAAGTATAAGATGATGCATTCAAATTGTTGAAATAAATAACCAACCAAAAATCTGTCAGCCAAGAATACTATACTCAGAAAAGTTATCCTTCGAAAAATAAAGTTTGTCCCAGACAAGCAAAAACTGAGGGAATTTTTTTCCACTAGACCAGTTTTACAAGACATGCTTAAAGGATTTTGTCTTAATTGTTATTGCATTGCTAACCAAGAGAAAGTTGACAATTTCTTTGTGTCCAGGAAGCTGCTCCCGGCAATTACAGCTTGTTGCCATGCCACAAAATGAAAATATTGAATTACATCGTAAATGCTAAAGATACGGTTTGGATTACCATGAGAAAAAAATAAAGAAGGAAAGTCTAGAGGCTCATGAACATTCAAAGAAGTAAAAAAAGATGATTGGTTTAAAGGCTAAGCTCTTTCATAAACAGTGCCATGCTGACAAAATACAAATGAAAACAACTATCAAGAAGTACAAAAAGAGCAACACCAAACAGAAGAATGATATAAAGACTCCACAAGGAGCAGTACCTGCCTATCTGTTGGATAGAGAAGGACAATCCTGGGCTAAAGTACTTTCCAATAAACAAAAAAGAAAAGAGAAAGTGGGAAAGTGGGATGTCCCTCTACCCAAAGTTTGAGCCCAGTGAGAAACAGAAGTATTAAAAGTTATTCTAACATGAAAGAAAGAAGGCATAGAAGAGGATGTTACGAAAGTCTGCTTTGTTGGAGATGGCTTTACTAGAAAACCACCTAAATATGAAAGATTTATTAGGTCAGTGGGCTTACATTTCAAGAAGGCTCACATAACACATCCTGAACTGAAAGCCACCTTTTGCCTGCCAGTACTTGGTGTACAGAAGAATCCCTTATCCCCACTATATACAACTTTGGGTGTTATCACCAAAGGTACTATTGTTGAAGTGAACATCAGTGAGTTGGGCCTTGTGACACAGGATGTAAATGTTATTTGGGGAAATATGTCCAAGTTAAATAATGCTGAAAATGATGGATGCATAAATGCTGTGTTACTGGTTTGATAGTAGTTACATACAAGTAACTACTTGTAATTGTTGAAAATGATACATCAGTCTGTAAAACCATGTGACTGTGATGTTTCCAAATATAGCCAGTCTTACATGTCTGCAATCATCAAAAGATTATTTATTAAATTGTACAAAAACCTTAAAGTGACCTGGTTTTACCGAAAAAAAAAAAGAAGAAAAAAATATTCAAGACTTGGTGATTTATAAGGAAAGTACAGGTTTATTTGAAAAACTCACAATTCTGGTGACTAGAAAGTCCAAAAGCACTATGAAGGAAGGCTGAACTTTAAAAAGAATTATTATTGATTATTGTTGTTAGTTTAAAGTTGAATTAACTTACCTTTATAAATCCTTTATTCAGAGATTGCTTCTATATCTTTTCATTTGCCCAATCCTCACCAAAATAGCTTTTCACATAATAGATGCTAACTTAGTTTTTATCGATGATATACGATGATTTTATCAGAGGCTCAGTAACTTAGGACAAGGTTTTTCTAAAAAAAAAAAAATACCCATTCCCAAATACACATAAAACTTAAATGTCATCTTTAAAAATCTCTTTGTATGTAATATAGCCTACCAGTTGTTTTAATGTAATCATGTAATATTTAAATGTTCCTACTAGAAGCTCATATAATTTAGCTCAAACATATTTTAAAATTATACCCATTAATTATTAATCCTATAATAGTTATACAACTATATAAGGACTATTATAAGTATCTATATTATAGAAGATAGGACCTTAGAGAAACCACCAAGCTACAGAAAATGGCTTATTGGTCTGAAAATAAAATTTCTGATACTTAGACCTACAAATGCTTAAAAAGCTATAATTCTTTCAGCAGATTTTCCCTTAATTTCCAAGTAGAAAGTTTTTTTAAAAAAATTTTATACTCCTAGCTATTTTTAATAGAGATTTTTACTGACCCTCAGATAGTTGGCAAAACTGTAGAACTAGTAACTATTCAGGAGACAAAGACAAGTTTGCTTACTTTGTTTTGTCTGTATCTGTTCTTTTTTTCCAACTATGAATTTATGGCTTAATACAACTGTCTTGAACAGTTAAAAACATTTCACATGGTCATGATTAAAGTTCTGGGCTATAATCAAGAAAGTACTCTCTAGCCCTCAGGCAATGTCAAGTGATTCATTCTAGATAGTCTTATACAGCTTATTTACTTGTTTTCACAGTTCCTTGAAGGGAAGTTGGCAGCAGAAAACACTAGAGGAAATTACTCTGATAGTTGCAATGTCAGTCATAAAGGGCTAGACAGTGAGTGGCACAGTAACATGAGGCTGATCCACATGTGAAGGTTCCAGGTTCGTGTCTAGAGACTTCCCTGAACACATTGGGTATACATGTGATATGGGGCTGGCTGAAACCAAGGCATGATTTCTTCATGAAGACCCTATTGAGCGGTATCTATCTGTCTCTCTGTTTTTCTGTCTCTCTCTCTCTGTCTCTCATTCATTGAAGAAAGAAAAATAAGCATTAAAAATTAAAAAAAATGGTCATGAAATTTTCTACAAGTGTCAGGAAAAAAACACATAAGATGTTTGAATATACTGCTTTAGTCTCACTCAAGTTTTACTATTACTGAGGGGTATATCTTGGTCATGGTGCTTTGAACAGTTTTCTCTTGGTCTGCTCAATCAATAGCTCCTTGTTTCTAATGGCAGGACTCCGGCTACTTCTGCATCTCTGTTTTTCTTTTTGAGGATTCGATGGGATACTTTGGGGGTATAGATGTAAGGGTGAGGGACCAGCCATATTTGAAATCAGCTTACTGGGCCTCTTTTAGTTCTCCTGCACCAAGTGCTTCCCTTGACACTCTACTCTGAATCAAAGTCTGTTGCTGGTCAGCTGTCCCACATTGATGCTACCTGCCCAACTTCAGAGCTGCTCTCACACAATTGATATCCCTATGCACAAGCTGATGGCATATTGTAAAACACAGCACTCTACCGTTAGAACTTCCTTTTTTAAAAAATTGGATTGTCAGAGAAGTCATGATGCATTTTTGCATACAAAAACAGACAAATGTCATAACTTTTCCAATGACCCAGTAAGTTTGCTAGAGGGCCAATGCAGAGAGAGAGAGAGAGAGAGAGAGAGAGAGAGCGAGCACGAGCGAGCAAGCGAGAGAGCACAGCCCCCAATAGGAATGTTGCATAAGCCCTATCAAAACAAAAATAGTTTGATTCTACAAACACAAGCTTTGGGTATTTGAAAGTTTACATAGAGAGCCCCCATTCTCTGAGAGTGATGCATAAATAATATACCACTAAAATCAGTGCTGTTAGAATAAAAGAGAGAACCAGCAATTGGCATGGAGGTTAAGGTAGCTGGATCCCTCATGGCCAACTCTGTAGTTTGAGTTCTGGACCTGGTAGTTTGAAAACCATGCCAAGTGCCTGTGAGAGCATGCCCAAAATCCTGACAAGAGACTGGAGAAGAAGGGATTGTAGTGTGGCCATGCTCCCTGGGGGGTGATTTTTCACTTTATTACTCTGGAGAGTGAATGTACCCTATGGCAATAATCTTTTTAAAAAATGTTAGAAATGCTTGAAATTATAATAATTTTATTATAATCATTGAGAACCTAAGGGTCAGATTCATTAGTAGGTCTGTTACATATGTCATTCCAAAAACAACAATTTTATAGTATGATAAATTATCTGGGGTTCAAAATTGTGGTGATTTATTAAAGGTAACATTGAAAAGACAAAAATTGATCCCAGTGTTTTACTTCTCGGATTGGATTAGGGTTGAAATGTCATTGAAGAACTGTAGAACTCTATGGAACGCAGCTTGAAACCATTAAAAATTAAGGTTTTGTTGAGGACTAGGTATCTCTGAGGTCCTTTTCTCTTTGAGAATCTATGAGTGAATTGAAATTTTAGGTATAGTAACACTGAGTCATCCTCTAAACATCAAATAATTTTTTTTTCACTTTTTTTTTTTTTTTTTTGCTATAGGGCACATGTGCTTGCCAGACAGACAGAGAGACAGACAGCGAGAACTCACCCCCCAGGGGGGATGGCCATGCCACAATCCCTTCTCCTTTGTTCTCCTCTTGGGATCTTGGGCACGCATGTACACGCGCCTGGTGTGAGTTTTAAGCCACCAGGTCCGGGACGCAAACCGTAGTCGACTACATGGGAGTCCAGCGACATAGCCATTACGCTAACTGCTGGTCCCCACATCAAATCAGTTTTTGAACAAGACAAAAAACATTAAATATTTGTTTCTTTCTCTTATTTCTGTGTCTTATGAACCCAAAGAACAACAAGGGGATGATGAATTAAGAAGAGTTTCTTTAACCCCACCCCTATTTCCATTTTCCATCCCTTACCCCTTTTTCATGAGGAGAAGAGAAAAGAATGACAGTTCAAAAAGAGTGAGGAAGACCTGTTTGGCCACTACAGGAGCAGAACCCACATGTAATGCTTTTTCAGAACTTTCTTCCATGTTTGGAAGAATTTGCCATTGCTATAATACAAATGCTATCTTGCATTGCCTTTATAAAGGAATCTTGAAAAGTTCTCTACCA